ATAAAAGAGAAGAGATAAACAATACTACCATACATTAAAACGAAAGAAAGGAAAGAAAACACTATAGATTTTCTGACTAAGTGAGTTTATATTTGTTGAATTTCGCGCACAGCTACTCGAGAGCTACTTAAGTCAGGTATCCTTAATTATCAAGCAATAGACTAGATGAAAGGCAATTATCAACACCATCTATTGTCAACCCTGGGCTACTCTTTACTAAGTAACAGTGGGATTAATCATCACATTACATGCCTCATGGTTGAAAGGGTGAGCATTTTCGGTGGAGGGATCCAAACCTACGACCCACAATTTTCGATTTCATTACCCTAATCATCAGGCCATGCCAAATCATATAGTTATGAAAACTTCAACTATAACTATTTATTAAACATAACAAGAAATAAACCCTAAACTTATTTAGCGTTATTAGTGTGATATATCAGCATTTGATGCGTGTTGTACATCATGTGTTTTCCACCATCTTTACCAATGTAGATGTTTTTTAATTTTTAAGTTAGTTTGTTTCTATGCAGTTTGGCATAGAAATATGGACCATTAAACCACTGAAATTTCGCAATTCTAGTTAAAGTTGTGTCTTTGTCGCTCTTTTATCAGATAACATCTACACTGAGTGGTCACAAGTAAATAGACACCTAATTTTTCGTCATTTAACTGATTTATGCTAACTAATTTGTGTTCAGAGAGCACTATATGAATGAAAATGGTCTGCACACTAATTATCTTGTGCTACAACATGCCTAGAACTCAAGGTTCTCTCGAATTGTCAGATTTTGTTAGAGGAAGGATAGTTGGTCAAGTAGATGGTGGAATAAGTCAGCGGCAAATTTCGCCTAATTTGGGAATCCCGCTTTCGACAGTCAACAGAATCATCGTGCAGTTCAGGAAACAACTGAGCAGCGTCCGGGTCGTCCTGGTCCATCGGAGAGGACAAAAAGGGCTGTCAAGAGAAGCATCGAAATGGATCCCAGATTAACGATTGCAGAAGTGGCCAAAGTTGGTGGGATGAGCCCAAAATCTGTTCAACGGATTCTCCATAGATCGGGTTATCGTTGCAGAGCAGCTAGACGGAAGCCCTTATTAAAACCTGCCAACATAGTCAGACGAAAGAAGTG